AAAGCATGCTAGACATTGGGTCACGTGACCCTTATGCTTCCTAAGGCTGGACCTCATTTTAGTCCTCGGAATCTCAAGCATCTGAAAAGACTAAGTGTGGTCCTGTTAACAGTTATCACTGCCTTGGCACTGACCTGACATCAACCCCATCAGGGCCATTTAGGAAGTTCTCTTCCTTGGTGTGAACTCTGCAGGTGAGCCTCCCACCTGAGTACAGGCTCTCGGGGTGGGACAGCCTTGCCATGGGCAGGTCTCCTGCTCCGCTCCGGGAGACGCTCTTCCTGCTGGAGACGGTGGGACATGGCTTCCTGTGGAAATACCGCAGCCAGGACTGGAACCCAGGGGTCTCTGACTCTGTGAAGTTCATGTTCTTCTATCATGTGTACCTGGTAACATTCAATGGAGTGTTTGTGGGTAACACTGAAAGCTTTACTACGAACTACAACATTGCCATAGGAAACCTTTTTTCCATGGGAAATGCACTGTGTATTTCAAATAATTCATTTACAAACTTTTGAAAGCCATTCCTTTTATAGTTGGTGACTAAATATCTGATGCCCTTTTTTAGCTTGGGATTAATTTCTTTATATGTTTAATGTTATTTTGGTATGCAGCCATCCAAATATTTATTTAGATTGCCTTTTCTTTTGGAAGCTATATTGCTTCAAAACAATTTATTAAATAGTGTTGTAATGCTGGGTGTTATAATTGTGATATTATCCATTGTCAGTCAGTCATCCATCTGTGGCCCAGTAAACACAAATTGTCTGTCTTTCTTTCCCCACCCCCAAAGTACTGTATTTCTTAGCAACTCACATAAACTATAACAAAATATACTTCTCATAAACCTAATACACTTACTTCCAAAAATTCAAGCTAAAATTATTCGTTATAATTATATAATTTCAATATCTAATAAAGAAAATAACTTTTTTTGCCAGTCGGAAGATAGTTGTATGTTTAGGCTAATCATGGAGTCTTAGATTTTGACCAGCAGATTTCATCTGGTCTGTGATTATAGTGATGGAAACCACTATTCCACACAATGGGTTTGAAGTGGACTGGTGACCTCAGAGCTGCTCATTCAGACAGAGCTGTTGGACCACTCTGCAGGGAGCATCGCTCTGTGACCCGCTGCATTTGGGATGGCTTGCAGAAAAATAGCCGTCATATCTTTTGTGTTTCTCTGACGTATTTGTGGAGGTGAGTGTTTATACTGACTGGGTAAAATACAAAGAGTCAGAAAAATAGTCTGGGTCTTCAGGAAAAAACTGCCATTTTCCAAACAACCCTGAAGCATGCTTGCTAAGCAGGACGTGGACCTCTGCCTGTGCTTTCCTTCTCTCTAGGGCATCCCCGCTGTGTGTTCAGTGACTTCTCTAAGGTGCACCCCTGACCTTTGCCCTCCCAAGTGGCTGTGCAGCAGTTTAGTAGGTCAGACAAGCTGAAAAGTCACCTTATTTTGGAGTCATTCTGTGTATGAACTTTATCTTTTTATTGCGAATTATTCTTTTCTTTTGCTATGATAAGGCAACATTGGGGGGCGGGGGTGAAATTTCCTGAAATATGTTAACCCTATAGACAGGGAAACTATAGCTAGCAAAATTTTTTGTGGGGAAGGTAACCTCTTTAAATT